TAAATAAATAAATAAATAAACTGGTCTGCTGTTCTAGCCCACGAAATGAATAAACAACATAAATAGACCAGTTACTTCTTAGTCTTAGTCTTAGCTTATAATTATTTTACTCCCCGACCGTACCGTCTATTTGACAGCGGTTCATCCGTCAGACCGCGACTGTGAACAGGTGGTAACATAGCGGGAAGATGAAAAATGGCCCACACGCCTGTATATTACCTCTGACTCTGACGGTGCGTTTCTGTCTGGGGTTAGAGTCTAGTTTTTCGTCACTTGCGTTAATCCTGTGTCCGGCACTTTTATTATAATAATTATTATAGTGTAGGTAGAAGTGACTATTATAGTGACTGTGTTGTACACATACGCAATATTTGAGGTAGAAGTGCGTGTTTGATTGTCCTCTAACTGTCGTAATATTAAGTTTGTTACAGAAGAGGTGTTTAGGTCTACATAGTTTGTTCTTTGTTTAGTTGTTTTAATATTTGTTTTTGTTTTGTTTTTGTTGTTTCTTTAACCGTGACAGTATCAGTAAAAATAATGTGAGTTTCTTCGTGGACGTTGGGGTATTCATTTTCCTTTGTAGTTTGTAGTAGCATTTTATTTCTTATATTTTTAAATTTAACTTTGAAGACAATTTAAGGAACAATAGTCAAGAAAATATAATTGTGTTCATTTCGGACCCAAAAGCGTAAATTTACTTATTTTCCCTGTCAGTATCTTGACTTTTAAAAGAAAAAAAAATCACGAAATATGGCGAACTAATTTTAAAGAGAAACTCGATAAAAGTAATAATGGTGAAGTTGAGATTCTGCTGGACTTAGTTTCTGACTGATGTTTTAAAGGTTGGTCAAATAGAATCAAATGAAAATATAGAAAATAAGATTGAAAGGAAATAAATAGCAAATTAGAAGCAAATGAAAAAAAGAAAAGATTTCGAAACAGAAAAAGTCTACTTTTCCTAAAGAGAAACCATCAGTCTTCAGGGAAGCATTATTCATGCATATATCTGTAAGAGAGAGAGAGAGAGAGAGAGAGAGAGAGAGAGAGAGAGAGAGAGAGACAGAGAGAGACAGAGACAGAGACAGAGACAGAGACAGAGACAGAATAATAGAAAGAGACTGAGACAGAATTGGGGATGGAGACTCAGAGAGAGACATAAAGAGAAAG